TATATATATATATATATATATATATATATATATATATACTGACTCCAAGCTTTTGAACGGTGTAGTGTATAATGTTACAAAAGATTTCTATTTCAGATAAATGCTGTTCTTCTAAAATTTCTGTTCATCTGTGAATCCTGAAAAATAAAATGCATCACAGTTTCCACAAAAATATTAATGTTTTCAACATTGATAATAATCAGAAATGTTTCTAATAATCAGCATATTATACTGATTTCTGAAGATCATGTGACACTGAAGACTGGAGGAATGATGCTGGAAATACAGAGAAATAAATTAGTTTAACACATTCACATAGAAAATAGATGTTTGAAATGATAATAATATTTCACAATATTACTGCTTTTGCTGCATTTCCGATCAAATAAATGCAGGCTTGGTGAGCAGAAGAGACTTCTCTAAAAACTATAAAAATCTTACTGTTCAGAAACGTTTGACTGGTAGTGTGTGTGTATGTGGAGAAGGGATAGAATGCTTTGTGACGACCAGAGAACATCTAGCATTGAGAGAATACACAATGCTATTTTGATTTATCCAATACAGAGACATATGGATTAAATATTATGAGTCTATGTAGAGTCTGTGCTCACTATGTAGTGCACTTGATCAGGCACTTCTGAGGTTCCATGTCTGAGGATGGATCTGGCTATAAACACTGCAGACAGGGACGTTTTCTTCTGTGTTTTTGCTTGCACTGCAAACAAATGATTTTCTTACTTTTTCTAGTACTGATATCTAAACATTTTTAAATCGAGATATATTTATTTGAAATGCAAAATAACAGAGATATTAAGTCTTGTTTTCTGAAAAATGTGTTAAAATTAAGCAAGTTAATTCTTAAATTAAGAAAAAATATCTACCAATGCGGTCTTGTTTTCCCTTTAAATTAAGATTATTTTTCTTAACCCACTGGCAGATATTATTTCTTGTTTTAAACAAAAACTAGCAAAATAAAATTCTAGAAAACAAGACTTATGGCCGGTTACAAAAGCTGCTAAACTAGTCTTAAACTTTAAACTTTTTAAAGTCAGTTACATAAAAATGTAGATTGATCAAATTTGAGTCTAAAAAAAAAGTTAGACTGATGACCAGTTGGTTAACTGCTAGTTAGTCAAACTAGTCCTTAAGACACAGTCTTAACATGATGACGGTTTATGCAACTGCCCCTTAATATCTAAAATCATTTTTAGCTTCTCCAGTATATGTATCTTAATTCAAGAAGATTTAGATGTTTGTACTAGAAAACAAGACAGAATTATTTTTTTTGCAGTGTTTTCTCCAGTGCAGATATCTAAAAATCCTTAAATCAATTCACTTAATGACAGAAGATAAGAAGACTTGTTTTCTGAGAGATTCCAAGTTTTTGATTAAAACAACAAAAAAGATCTGCCAATGGGGTCAGAAAAATAAACTTTGTTTTTAAATAATAGAAAAATTTTATTTAAATTAAAAAAAAAAAAAGTTTATTTCTCTGAGCCCACTGGCAGATATTTCTTCTTGTGTTATGTTGAAAGACTTCTTATCTTCTGTCATTGTGCATCTCAAGTAAAGGAATCTTGTTTTAATAGTGTTTAGATATTTGTGCTGGAAAACGAGACCGATAGATCACATGTGACCCTGGAGCACAAAAGCAGTCTTAAGTCGCTGGGGGATATTTGTAGCAATAGCCAACAATACATTGTATGGGTCACAATTATACATTTCTCTTTTATGCCAAAAATCATTAGGATATTAAGTAAAGATCATGTTCCATGAAGATATTTTGTAAATCTCCTACCGTAAATATATCAAAACTTAATGTTTGATTAGTAATATGCATTGCTAAGAACTTCATTTGAACAACTTTAAAGATGATTTTCTCAATATTTAGATTTTTTTGCACCCTCAGATTCCAGATTTTCAAGTAGTTGTATCTCAGCCAAATATTGTGCTATCCTAACAAACCGTACATCAATGGAGAGCGCATTTATTCAGCTTTCAGATTATGTATAAATCTCAATTTCGAAAAATGTACCCTTATGACTGGTTTTGTGGTCCAGGGTCACATATATAACTGCAGCTGGATGAAGTGTTTGTGTGGTTCAGCGGTGTGTTTGTTTGTCAGATGAACCCGCGGCAGTGGAGTCAGATCTCTGAGAGCGCTAAAGACCTGGTGCGACGCATGCTAATGCTGGACCCGGCCGAGAGAATCACCGTCTATGAGGCGCTCAACCATCCCTGGCTCAAGGTCACGCACGCTAACTTCCCTCCTGCTGCTATTGTCTTCAAAATTAACCTGATTGTCATTTCTCCTCCTGTATAAGTCACTTCCTGTTTGTGACATTCAAGCCTGGTATCGGGTTGAGTTTGTCTCATGTTTGTGCGTGTCGTGCAGGAGAGAGATCGCTACTCGTACAAGACCCACCTGCCCGAGACGGTGGAGCAGCTGAGGAAGTTCAACTCTCGGAGGAAACTGAAGGTATTTACTGTAATCGTGCAGTAATTCGTCGTGTCACACAACCACAAGAGCCCAACACATTTTCAACAGGGTAGAAAATCCCCCAAAGTGTCCATCTGTCCATTAAACAATAATACTGCGAGAAACTTGTTTTATTCTGTTGATACTTCTGAAAAGGTTTTTAATCAAGTAGATCCAAATGTAAATTAAAATTAATCTTAAGCATCTTATTTAATTTTAATTTTGAATGACTAAACCTGGTTCTCGCCATGAACATAACCAGAGGAAGGAAGAAAACCCCCCGACAGCATAACTTGGATTTAGTTTTAGTCATATTTTAGACATCCGAGCTGTTTTAGACTACAGACTAAATATCATAACATTTGTGACCCTCTGTGTGAAATCCAGGCTAAAGTCTCAATCTAATTATGAGATGGCAAGCATCAAAGTCTGTTTTCAAAGTTTATATAGAAAACAGTAGATCACCAAAAAATGACTTTCGCTGGGTTTTCACAGACAGGGTCACATTTTAGTAAACTAAACATACAGTAGATTTAGTTGACCCAAAACATAATGTTTTTTCTCTAAAATCGCCAAACTCATTATAGACTCCATATCTGTAAACCTGTTAATATGACTGATATTAAGGTTTGAATGTGCAACACAGACACAGATTTCTCTGTTGTGGCGTATAACATGACTTCATTATCTTAAAATGCATTCTTCATTCTTTCAAGCAGACATATTTATTTATAGAAATTAACGATGAATTGCTGTTAAAGGGATTCAGTAAAGAGCAGTGAGTGATTTTCTCTTTTCCTTTTCTTGTTTGATTAACATTAATGACACAGACGGCAGCAGGATATTAGGCTGCTGTCACTTTAAGACCAAATGCAACTGTTTGTGTTCATTTAAATGACTGCTTACGCAAAGTTATGCTTTTTATGTAGTGTTCATCTTGTTTTTGATGAAAACGGTCATCAAGAAAATGAGCCCTGGTGCTTTCGCAGCACCACATTCACAAACGTTTAGCTTTTGGAAATCAGTGAAACGCAATGTGGTTTCAATCTAGTGATAATCCTCAAATTTAGCTGTTTTTCAGATCCATTTCAACTAAATAGACCAGAAAGCACAGGCGTTTTCACCTTTTCACTCGGTCATTTTGGGATTCCTAAAATATTTCATTTCTGTAGATTGATTTAAAATCCAGTAATCGGAAGTGACTGATGGGAATGGATTTGTCAGAGCGTTAAACTGATCAAGCTCTGCAGCAGTTCTGCTGGTTTCAGGTTAAGTTCTCATTGACAGAGTGTGTTCGCCACATGAAAGTGAGGGATGTTTTGCTCTAATTCTTCAAAGATGTAGTCAGGTGCATGACTGTTGGAGCAGAGAGGAGTTGATGAGCCTGTGTAAAGGTGAAGATGTGCGGTTTGATGATCTAATATGTTTGTGAGATCTCTGGAGTGCAAATGTCAAACGTCTGCGGTTCGTCGAGATGATTCCATCAAATGCCCTGTTTGAGTCTGACAGTGTAATGAATGAAATCGAGATGAGTTTGTGTGTGTGATTCACAGGGCGCCGTCCTTGCTGCCGTCTCGAGTCACAAGTTCAACTCGTTCTACGGCGACCCTCCTGAAGACCTCCACGATTTCTCAGAGGACCCCACGTCTTCAGGTACGTCCCCCGCGGGGGAAACGACCTCGTGGAGCTCCGTCCAGTCATTTCTGGATCTCAGCTGGTTTATCAGTCACTCTGAAAGTCTAGTGAAGTTTGAGGAGCCTCGCCGTGACCTCTGCAGAGTCTCATATCTCCATGCTGCGCAGAGAAAACCCTTCTCATGCTGAGTGCATCAAGCAAACTAGGGATGCACCGAATGTTCGGCAACCGAAATTATTCGGCCGAAAATAGCAAAAAAAAGCTCTTTCGGTGTTCGATTAAGCAAAAAGACCAAATAAATTGTACCGAACAAATGATATGACGCGATCAAATAGGAACCAGCGCAGAGTGAGAGGCGTGCACCCTTTATTATGCAGCACACACACACACACACACACACTCACACTTATACACACACACACACTCTCTCACACAGACACACACACACACACACACCCTCTCTCTCTCTCTCTCTCTCTCTCTCTCTCTCTCTCTCTCTCTCTCTCTCTCTCTCTCTCTCTCTCTCTCTCTCTCTCTCTCTCTCTCTCTCTCTCTCTCTCTCTCTCTCTCTCTCTCTCTCTCTCTCTCTCTCTCTCTCTCTCTCTCTCTCTCTCTCTCTCTCTCTCTCTCTCTCTCTCTCTCTCTCTCTCTCTCTCTCTCTCTCTCTCTCTCTCTCTCTCTCTCTCTCTCTCTCTCTCTCTCTCTCTCTCTCTCTCTCTCTCTCTCTCTCTCTCTCTCTCTCTCTCTCTCTCTCTCTCTCTCTCTCTCTCTCTCTCTCTCTCTCTCTCTCTCTCTCTCTCTCTCTCTCTCTCTCTCTCTCTCTCTCTCTCTCTCTCTCTCTCTCTCTCTCTCTCTCTCTCTCTCTCTCTCTCTCTCTCTCTCTCTCTCTCTCTCTCTCTCTCTCTCTCTCTCTCTCTCTCTCTCTCTCTCTCTCTCTCTCTCTCTCTCTCTCTCTCTCTCTCTCTCTCTCTCTCTCTCTCTCTCTCTCTCTCTCTCTCTCTCTCTCTCTCTCTCTCTCTCTCTCTCTCTCTCTCTCTCTCTCTCTCTCTCTCTCTCTCTCTCTCTCTCTCTCTCTCTCTCTCTCTCTCTCTCTCTCTCTCTCTCTCTCTCTCTCTCTCTCTCTCTCTCTCTCTCTCTCTCTCTCTCTCTCTCTCTCTCTCTCTCTCTCTCTCTCTCTCTCTCTCTCTCTCTCTCTCTCTCTCTCTCTCTCTCTCTCTCTCTCTCTCTCTCTCTCTCTCTCTCTCTCTCTCTCTCTCTCTCTCTCTCTCTCTCTCTCTCTCTCTCTCTCTCTCTCTCTCTCTCTCTCTCTCTCTCTCTCTCTCTCTCTCTCTCTCTCTCTCTCTCTCTCTCTCTCTCTCTCTCTCTCTCTCTCTCTCTCTCTCTCTCTCTCTCTCTCTCTCTCTCTCTCTCTCTCTCTCTCTCTCTCTCTCTCTCTCTCTCTCTCTCTCTCTCTCTCTCTCTCTCTCTCTCTCTCTCTCTCTCTCTCTCTCTCTCTCTCTCTCTCTCTCTCTCTCTCTCTCTCTCTCTCTCTCTCTCTCTCTCTCTCTCTCTCTCTCTCTCTCTCTCTCTCTCTCTCTCTCTCTCTCTCTCTCTCTCTCTCTCTCTCTCTCTCTCTCTCTCTCTCTCTCTCTCTCTCTCTCTCTCTCTCTCTCTCTCTCTCTCTCTCTCTCTCTCTCTCTCTCTCTCTCTCTCTCTCTCTCTCTCTCTCTCTCTCTCTCTCTCTCTCTCTCTCTCTCTCTCTCTCTCTCTCTCTCTCTCTCTCTCTCTCTCTCTCTCTCTCTCTCTCTCTCTCTCTCTCTCTCTCTCTCTCTCTCTCTCTCTCTCTCTCTCTCTCTCTCTCTCTCTCTCTCTCTCTCTCTCTCTCTCTCTCTCTCTCTCTCTCTCTCTCTCTCTCTCTCTCTCTCTCTCTCTCTCTCTCTCTCTCTCTCTCTCTCTCTCTCTCTCTCTCTCTCTCTCTCTCTCTCTCTCTCTCTCTCTCTCTCTCTCTCTCTCTCTCTCTCTCTCTCTCTCTCTCTCTCTCTCTCTCTCTCTCTCTCTCTCTCTCTCTCTCTCTCTCTCTCTCTCTCTCACACACACACACACACTCTCTCTCTCTCACTCACTCAGACACACACACACACTCTCGCACACTCACTCACACACACACTCTCACTCACTCACACACTCTCTCACACAGACAAACACACACACACACACACAGTAAACCTGTGATAAACTACAGCTGTGGAGTGTGTAAGGATTTTTATGCACACACATGTTCCTGTCGCAGTCGTGGCTGTTCATGAATCTGTTATTTTTTTATTGATTATGATTTGTGTTCACGCTGTCCGCGCAGATGAGATCTGATCCACACAGATGCTGATGAACGGTTTTGTTCAGAGATGAGTGTGTGACGCTGCAGATGCTGAGTGTGTGGTAGCGAGAGACACTTTAGCACTTCTAGTCTAGTCTTCAATGAGAAGAGGAAGGGGTGATTGTTGCTGGTTACTGTATGATGATTGAAATCACGAAATGGCCTTAAACGGTTAGTAAATAAACTGCAGAAAGTCATGTTTTCTAATACACGCGCGCATTGCATGTATTCTGACAGCGCTGCACGAGCTCGCAGCAGATCTGCTTGTTAACCAGGGTTCAAAGTCCAAAGCGCGAAAGTGTAATGAATTTTTACAAGGCACGTGACAATGCGATACGTACGACGTATTCGTAATGAGACTCTTTTATAAATCTGTTATCAACAAAAATAAGCATTGAGGTCTTCCTGCGCGTTTCCGCCAAAACAAAAGTTGAGAAAAAGCAAGAACTCTTATAAACATTCATAAATGTTAGTAATGTAATGTTACTGTTGTTCTGTAAAATAACATAAAGAGTAAGACAATAATGATAATAATCATTACAACAGCTCTGTTAATGCATTTATTATAACATTCACACAGTGTTCAAATTAGGATCGGTAATATTTTCTAATGTTTTAAAAGAAGTCTCTTCTCAG